AGAGATGTGTGACGAGTCCATGACCCACTCAGCCAGCTCCGCCTCCAGTCTGGACAGCCATGCCCCCTCTGAGAGCAGCCAATCGCAGGGCGTTCGGTGGGAAGAGCAGCAGAAGGTCCTGGCTCTAGAGCAGCTGTGTGGAGTGTTCAGAGTGGACCTCGGTCACATGAGGTCACTACGACTCTTCTTCAGGTATGATGGTCTAGTAATGTAACAGGACCATGCATAACTCCACTGTTACACTGTCGCTGTTATTTTACACACTGTTACTGAGTTTAAGCTCAGAAGAATTCTAGTCAAAGGTTTTGACACTCACACTCATTTAACAGTTCATAGGAGATTTTGAGGTCAGTTCTATAGAAATCCAGTGAAAGTTTGGACCTACTTATAAATAGACCTGTAACCATTATCACATGAATACCTGATAGCAGTTATTTGAGCTGACCACTGTTATTTTTTCAACAGCTTTTACAATCATGAGTTAGTATAGCAGCAGATGGAATGTGAGTTTAATGTGTTTATCTGTTGGGTTGATACAGGAAAAAAAATATTGATTTATGATTTAGCGTCTTTGGTCTTATGAAAACCACCAATGTGCCAACTTCTAATTGGCTAGAACCTATAAGACCTATACAGAGGGTGTTGGTGAGTAATGTTTGTTTACTTACCTTCATTTGGGAGCTGCTAAGTGTCAACAGCTGGGAAGCAAGATAGCTAATCAGCCAATCTGGTCACTTTAGGCTTGTACTTGATTAGTTGCGCAGAATGAACAAAGGTATTTAAATTGTTAATGTCAGTTGCTTATGTGGTGAATAATCACTAACTAAAATTTCATGTTTTTATGTTTAAAATGATAAAAATATAAAATGCTTTGTAATTTAATGTTTTACCATTATGGTGAAAGCATCAAAACTATGAAATAAAACACATTAGATTATGCAGTGACCAAAAGTATTAAATCAAAAGACACTTTCAATAGAATTACTGTTTTAGACACTTTCAGATCAGCCCCATCTTTACCTTTAAGCAGCTCTGCTCACTCTGGGTGTTCTCTCAGGCAGCTTTAGAAGGAGCCTCCTGAGATTAACAGAACAGTCTTAAAATGATTCCTGCACATGCTGAGCATATATTATTTGGGGTGATGACATTTTCAAAAAACTGTTTTCTACTTTTGAAGTTTTTGCTGTGGAAATAATCACACATGATCCGTTTATATTCACATAAACTGTTAAGAAACCTTTTAAAACAGTTTTCTTGGCTGTCTGAGATTTTCGCACAGTACTGAAAGTGTAAACCTTCAGCAGGTGAAGTTTTCATAAATCCTTCTGAAGTGGAGATGTCTGTGACATCACAGTCGGTCTGGTCGACCTGCGATGGACTATCCCCTTCATCCCTTCATGTGTAGCTGGTGTGATAATTCATCTGGCTGTTAAAACTCTGCTGTGCCGGTAATCATGATGATTAGCCTCTGGGTTATATGTTATTGAAAAGTAGCTAGTTTTTTTCTGTGTACACTCTTATCAAAACGTTGGGGCCAGTTTACCTTGACATTTTAAGGTAATGTTTAATTTGTGCTGTTACTTTTCAGTTTAGTAAAAAAGATGTTTGTAAGTCACTATTACTATAAATGTGCTTTTTACAAATATTTAAATTATTTGGTTTTATTTTGCAACTCTCATGTTTAACGTGTCTTCCTTGGTATGAAGAGCAAGTTTTGCTTAAATAATGATGTGACGTTTTTTTTTTTCCAAACTATTGTTAAAAGCGTGTGCTGAAACTCTTTCATTCCAAAGGTGACTCAAACATCTGAAAGAGGATGTGTGGGTAGAGCACTCATTGCTGGCTGATGTTCTCTCTCTGATGTCCTGGTTTACTTTGTCTGCAGTGATGAGGCATGCACCTGTGGTCAGCTGGTCATAGCCAGCAGAGAAAGTCAGTATAAAATCCTGCACTTCCACCATGCTGGCCTGGACAAGCTGGCTGAAGTCTTTCAGCAGTGGAAGTGCTGCAGAGAGACGCAGCTCAAAGACCAGGTGAGGGTGCAAAAACAACCCCCAAAAACAGCTACACAGTCAATTTTAGTGCTAATGCCATGTAGGGGTGGGCGATATGGCAAAATAGAACATTGCAATATAACATTGCAATACTTACATTTTACTTACAGCTCCTTGTTAGTGTAGACTATATGTAGTTACTGGTTGCTGCTGCTGCTGCTGTTGTTGTTGTTGTTGTTGTTGTTGTTGTTGTTGTTGTTGTTGTTGTTGTTGTTTATAGACTTTGTATAACTGGTCTCAGTCTTTTTAATGATAGCGTTCTATAAATACTGAAGATGCCAATGAAGTACTCAGAAAAGTGTAGTGTGATCAGATTGCCAATGTTTGTTAAACTGCCCCCCTGAATGATACTGACAATTTGATATTGATATTGTCAAATTGCTCACCTGAGTGCAACATTAGATCCATGCTTAGTTTGATTAGTATTTATGTTGACACCTGTATCAAGAGAAACTCAGTGTACAATTTGTGTTTGGTGAATAAATAAGATTCTGATTCACTGAACCTCTTTCACCGAAATTTCTGTTGTTCTTGTGTGGTTCAGGTGGCGGATGAGAAGTCATGTATGCAGTTCTCCATCCGCAGACCGACTCTGCCCTCAACAGAGACCCACCCTGAGGAGCGGCTGTACCGCAGGCTGGATGTCAGCTCCTGGCTCCGTCACCTCAACCACAGCGGCCAGGTGGAGGAGGAGTACAAGCTCAGGAAGGTCAGACTGAGCAGTGTTACTCACTGTGATCTGCCAGAGACAGGATAGAGTGACACATTCCACCAGCAGAGAACCTTTCTCTGGAAATTTTCACAGAATTATTGGCAACACTAATTGAACCCTGCAACATAGCATTGGCGGAACCATGCCATGAACATATAATGGCAGATGTCATAAGCTGCTTTAAGTTATCATGACAGATTTTTCTCAGTAATATAACAGTGTCATGTTGCCATTACTGTTAACTGTTATGACGAATGCTGTAACGTTTAAGGTCATGATGACTAAGTAAAGGACGCTTAGCAAATATGATCATGTGACTTAAGCTATCTTGATATGAAACTTTATGGCATTTGTCATGACGGTTACCAATAATTGTAACATTAAACTGTATGGAACAAAATCGGTCATGACATGTTTATGGCATGGTTATGTCAATGTTATGTAATGGGCTTCAAGTGAAATGTAACTGAATATATTATCTCTGTCATGACAACCTTGTATCTCTAAAATGGTTACTTTACAGGAGAAAGAAAAAGCTTTCCTTAAGATAAATTAAAAAAAAAAAATCATAAATTTAAATGTAAGTGAATGAAACAATGAATTATTTCAGTTTTTGGTCCCAGTCTGCTGGTCCAAGTTACAAGGTTTGGGTATGACAGTGAGGATATGCACAGATTATTAATATATAAAATAAATAAAATAATTTTTTGTTAAAACTAAAGCTTTGTATCAGGTGTTTGTGTGTGTGTTTTTATATATATATATATATATATATATATATATATATATATATATATATATATATATATATATATATATATATATATATAATTTCTCCTTTGGCCTTTGTACAAAAAAGGTCAGTTGTTTTTAGTCTTATCTCTCCCACTGAAACACATGATCAGATGATGGTGGATGTGTGTGTGTGGGGGGTGTAATTTAATGGTCACATTACTTTGCATTATTATCTTTTATAGGTAATAATAATTGAATACTTAAGTTATGCCTCTCAATGCGTATGTATCCGTGTTACTGAAACCCATGTACCCTGCAGGAGTTTAATTTTCTCTTGGCCATGCTTTTAGAAAGGCTCTTTGCAGTTTCCTGTTTATCATGTGACTTATTGGTTTTCCTCTTCCTTTGGGTGGGTAAATAGGTTTCAGTCTCAGAGATGCACATACTGTGGGACATACTTTGAACACGTGTATATTTGTATTTGTATCAGTATGATTGTGTAATTATTGCTTAAAAAAGACAATAATGCTTATTACTAAGTAATATTTTTACCATTAATTTCACACATGTATATAAGCCAAACCGTGCATTTCATTTAAATTACATTTTTCTAAGTGCAGATAAGTTAACACATTCTCTACATTGAACAAACTTAAATATAATTTTTTTTTTTGCAATTTTTTGTGCACAATTTTTATTTATTTGCTAAGTTTATCTTGCTGGAACATGAATATAAATGTGCCGTAACTTTTGCACAGGCTACATTTTAATGTTTTGTTTTTACAGTATGTTGAATTCAGTAATTGTGCATTAAAATGTACAGAAGTTTGTTCTCTGTAAAGGATGTTAGCTTATTTTCACTTAGAAAATCAATGTCATTTGACCAACGGCACCAAAACTTTTGCATGCTATGTATTTTTAAAATATACTGTACGTGTGCTCTTTGAAAATTTATGGCGAGTCAAAAAGGTGCTTTATTAGTGGAATTTCTCCGGTATGTGAGTTTGTTTAGGAGAAGATGTTAGTACATATTAGGAAAGTGCTGGAGATTAATTGGCTCCAAATACATCTCTTGTACGTTCTTTAACAAACATCAGGCAGTATTAAATCCTCGGTGTTCCAGATTCAGCACCCAGCACCTCACTATAACTGATCTTTTTAGACACTGTGTTCTCTAAATGACAGCACTGTAACTGTTTGTTCTCTCAGGCAATCTTTTTCGGAGGCATTGACCCCTCTATCCGGGGTGAGGTGTGGCCTTTCCTGCTGCACTACTACAGCTATGACTCCACCTCAGAGGAGCGCGAGGCCTGGAGGCTGCAGAAACGCAGCGAGTATCAGGAGATCCAGCAGAGAAGGTAAGATGCTGGTTGTTTGCTGTAGCACTGACTCTGGATCAGCTCCTGCTCAAAGCTCACAGGCCTAAATGCGCCCTCTGTAGGACATAACTCCCAAAGTGCTCGATAATTTTCTCCCTCAAGAAAACCACTTCCTCCAAAGAAAACAACCTCAGGTGCAATGTCTGGAACACGTCCAAACATGGCCTGGTTTATAAAACTGTCAATCAGATTGCTAAATGTGATACTGGCAAAGAAGAAAAACAGGGTGTTAATGTGCATGTTTAGCTGTTAAAAACTGAAAGTAGAAATCTCCAAATTTCAGAGCTGTATAAGTTTAATTTGTTTTACACATGAAAATGTGTACAACATGATTATCCTGTACAAGTCTAGAGCCATTGTTGTTTTGATATACTTTTCAAAAGGGATTACAATACGATATAAGTAATTACATAAATCATTACTTTTAATATCAGTCTACAGTCTGTATCTCCAGGTTCTGCCCTTCTAAGGTTTTTCCATTTGTTTAAAATTCAAACAGTTTAGTTTAGAATTAATTGTTTTTGTGATGGTCTACAGCAGTTTAGCTCTGCCCCTTCAGCTATAAAGAGTATGTGAGTCCAGACTTTGTTGTGAGTGAAGTATGATATAGGACAGCTAATTGGAATAGCATTCATTTACATATCAGTCTTAAAGGTGCAATAACAACAGCTGCCTCCTCTAATTCTATTGGAAAATGTCTGTGATTTTGGTATATGGACCATTCTACCAAGTTAGTTCAAGTTGCAGTCCCTCAGAAAAAAAAAACATTTTAAAAACTTAATACTTAAGTTTTTTGTGTTAAAAAAAAGTAATGAGCTAAATATAGAGAAAATGAGCATTTATAGGGTGCTTTTTTTCATTTATTTTAAAGTTGAAAGGTTTGGATTTATCATGGGTTTAATGTTTAAATGAAAAAACTTTATTCATACAATGCTGTCCCACATTTTCATGTCACTATCTAAACCAAACAGCTTTAGTCTGTAGGTGGAGCCTTATTTTAGCCACGTCCCCGCATTTTAGAGCTGAGTGAGACTGTATCCCTGTTCATCATGGCCACATGGCGAGCAGTTAGACCCCACTGTTTTGAAGTAAATATGTCCCAAGTTCTGAAAATCAGTGTGTAACATTAAGAATTGTCACTACCGAAACACATTTTCTGCAGCAAACTATTTTGTGTTGTAATGAAAATATGATTTTATGTGTGTACAACTGTTTTGCTACTCATGCATCGGCTCATGTTTTTGAGTTTGGCTCAGAATTAGCTAAAATTGTCATAACTGAAGCATTCAGTATGGTTTCTGTAGTGTTGTGATTGTTTTGGTACTGACCTAAAAAGAGAATGTTCAGTCATTTGTTTTGACCAAGTAAACAATTAAGCTGAAAAATAAAAATAATTAAATACTACATAAATAATTAAAGTATAGGGTAATTGAAAGCAAAAGGATTTTTGTCTAAAGTCCATTAAAAGTCTTTGAATGAGCTTTCTTTTTTGTAAAGAATATATTTCACATGTGGATTATAGTGTGAACCAGGGGCTTAGTTCCAGGGAGCATAAGCTCAAGATTTGTGACTGGTAGGAAACATTCTGCAATGCCAATAAAAAATATTACAAAATATCATCAGGGTCAAGACCACGGAATTTATTCTTTAACAGAGTGACATGAACATTACAGTCTTCAACCGTTTGCCTTAAACATCTATACTTAGTGCTGTAGGACTCTGATTGAGTAGCCTTTACCCACTGTGGTATAAAAAGCTGAAGTTGGCTTTCTATTCACCAGCTTCTTATTCAGATTTTCTGTTCTACCTTAAATGGTGCAGCAGTTAACTACTCTACCATTTATGGTGGAACAGAAAAGAATTGAATTCAGTTAAATGTAAGGTAAGCAATCGTGTGTTGTTTAATAATCAGTATAAATCCATCCCTTTTATTATACATATAGTGAGTCATTTTCTATCAATTTGGCTATAATTAAGTCAGCTAGTTGGTTGTAGTCATACCTCTGGGCCTTGATGCTTAATGCCTCTGGTGTGAACTTATTGTAAAATATAAAAATGAGTAATTGATTATTGGTATTGGTGTTGGCCACAACAAGGTGTTAAATATCATGTATTGCATCGCTCCAGGAATTCCATATGGGTGCATCCCTGGTATTAACATTTCAGTGAATTATTCCTTTACACTGCCTGGCTCTATTATTAGTGCGTAAAAGCTGCTGGTGGAATGCGCAATCCTTGTCAGCCTCACAGCCATTTGACAGCACTTTGATCAGTCATTACTGCCCGTGTGTTAAAGACGTGTATTACAGAATCACAGGCCGTCTTAACACCCGCCGTGAATCTCAATGGACCACCGAGCAAAGACAGTGTGAAGCAAGCCACTACCAATCAATAAACATGTGTGCAGATACGCGCACGGTGTGAATTAATGTGTCCCTGAGGAAATGAGCGTGTCATAACTGATTAAGGCATTGTCTGCCCATCGATACAACAGGCATTACATGTGCTGGCTTTGATGCTTTATGGAGCGTAGTCATCGGCGTACTATGGCTGTTGTATTTGCAGCTATATTTTTTGAGAGAACTGCATTCATTTTTTAAAGTCATGCTACAGATGTCCTTATGTAGTTAACTGTGTAATCATAGTGGGGCTGTGACCTTAGTGTCACTGTGTATTATTGATCAGCCTGTAATACTATCAAACCATCGATACTGAAGATCTCTAACTTGCAGTGTGCATTCCTCCAGCTGATTAGAAATCCATCTGAGCTTTGTTACTGAAGCAATTACAGATTCTAGGTGAGCTTTAAGGGTTTCCTGGACATAGATTAAGCCTAGTCGAAGACTAAATTGGGACATCAGTGTTAAAGGGCTCATGACCTACGTTTGTATTCCATTTTATTTTCCCCTGAGGTCCACTTACAACGATTGTGTGGTTTACGTACCAAAAACGATCATAATTCATTTTTACATGACTGTTTTCCATCCTGTCTTCATCCTTTAGAATTTTCCAGGATGTTTTTGTTGCTTTGCCTTTAAGACTGAATGTAAATGAGCTCTTTTCTGATGGGCTGCCCTTTATTGTGACTCTTTCAGAAAACAGTCAAGTTTGAAACACTCTTCAGTGTAAATGGGCGGGGCTAAACTGCTGTAGGCTGAATAGGAGGAGATGTGTAAATGTGTTGCTTTTTGTGACTTCACAGAAACAACGACATCCATTTCCATATTGATACATATAAAACAGTTTCACATAGTGATATCAAAAACGCAAGGAAAAGACAATTTTTCACAACAAGAGTTTTTTAATAAACCACTGAAAAGCATTTTTAGCTTAATCTGGGTCTGGGAAACTAGCCCTAAGTGCTCCAGCACCTGACCCCAGCAGTAATTCCTACAATTTAATAGCTATTTACTATTATGTGGGTTTTTCTTTGTGATGCAACAACTTGCCAATTCTTACATAAAAGCATGTCAGAATAAAAGTCCATTGTTGCCAGTTGTTCTGTGACATTTGAGAAAATCAGAATTTACTGACTGTTATATATTGAGTTAAATACTTTTTAAAGTTATGCTATTTTGTAACATGTTAAGGTTTTAATGGTATCAAACACACCTTTTTTAAAGAATTGTATAAAACTAATGCTCTTTTTAATAGTTTATTTAATCTGCTAATATGGTTGAGCGGTCACACCAACTGACATTTTTGGACTTTGAGAGACATGCTTAAATCTAATTTTATTATCAAGTGCTGAAAAAATGTTCACATAAAAGAGATATTGTAGAATAATGTGATAGGACATGAATTTTTTTTATTTAGTAGGAAAATAATGGACTTGAAAACAAAAAATGCATCATCTCAAATCATATCATTGACCCACTTAGAAATGAATGGAAAACTGATTAACCAAAAGCACGCTTGTAGCACAAGCCAAGGGGCAGTTGCTTCTGTGTACAGATATGGATTAGGTTGAACTGTTCTGGATTATTCTTTTAGTCGATACTTACTTTGATATGAGTTAAACATAAGGTAAGCTCTACAAAGCATCTCTAGTGGACCATCAAAATAAAGCGTAGCCATTTATTTGCCTTTGACCAGTAAGCTTGTCTTTGGCATCGCTTTCAGTTGGACTTGACAAAATCTGATCTTAAATCGTGGTGAATCATCGCACTTGGCTAACATTCTGAAACATTGTACCTGCAGCTGTAACTTGGCGTGTCTAGAATGGAACACAGTGTAAGATATATTGCGTGTCCTGAGCTTAGGGTGAATGTAGAATTCGGAGATGCTCTATTCCTGGAATTTAGCTCCAGTCAGCAATCTCCATTCTTTTCGTTTCTCCTCCGGGACAGCTGTCGTGTTATGCCCTTTAATTACAGTCAGTAAAGGTCTCTACAGCTATCTGCAGTGATGCAGTTGTGCCTTTATAATGTCGGTTATCTGTACTGTTCCGCTGTGCTGTGGTTGAGCTGCACGTTGGTGCTGCGTGGGTTAAAATAGTCTACAGTAACACTGATGTGTGTAATTGTGATCAGTGTTTTTCAGCCGTGCAGCCACAGTCCTCAGAGAGGAAGGGAGAGGAGAGAGAGAGAGAGCGTGTGAGGGAGGGGTGGGGGCACTGCCAGGGGAATAGTTTGCACAAACACAGGCTCTGAAACAGTTGTGTGAAGTTGCGTCAGGTCTGGTGTTACTTCATGCAAAACAAACAGTGTTAATTAAATCCCACCTGCTTGGTAAAAGAGTGTTTAGGCCTTTGAGTCGAAAGTGCCCTAAACCTCAGCTGTGGATGAAGACATGACTCCAAGAGTGCTTTATCTGTCCCTGTGCAATTTTAATAACTTACTGAATGACACTGAACAAAACAGTATTAAGTGATCCCGTGTGTCAGTGAGAGAACTCAATGCAAGGATAATGTACCAGTAGCCTGTAGCGGTGGTCCACACAGGATTTTTAACAATAAATCTCATCTCTTATCCTTGTCTGGCAGGTAAAGGGCTCTTTTTTTATTGTCAACTGATATGGTCTTTAATAGCCTAGAATCTTATCGGTTTTATTGAACATTTGCATTTTGAATCTTTGTAGTTTCTGTCATGAATATTTAACAGACGCTTTCAGAATTATTCTTAAAGTGTACCCTGACAATGTCCATAAACCTACATCTTTATTTGATATGGAAAACAAAGTTACAGTCAAAACTTCTCCATTGTGAGAGGCCTAACGGCAGAAATTGGGCACCCCTGTTCAAATTACATGTTTTGTTGATATTGTAAGTGAAAATAGGTTAACACAGACATTGTTCCACTGCAGAGAACAGATTTTAATACACAATTGCTGTTTATTTGCTGAATTTAAATCTACACTACATTCATTTTGGGGATTTGGAGACCTCTCTGGCGGAAATGTGTATTTGCGAGCAGCATGTGGAAGAACGTTTTGTAATGTGGGTTGTGCTTCGGACCCCTTCCATGAGCGGATGAATCTGATGATTGCGAGCGCATTGAAAAACTATTCAAAGAGAGGTTCAGTCAAAACTTGGTAAAAAATGTCTTCTGGGGATGTAAGCGAATTATCTACTGCTGTCATCACATCTTCAACAGTATAATGTTGATTTTGCATTGGAGACCTAAACCTCAAGCCGGATCTTCTTTTTGAGCCTGTGCACATGACGTTAGTACATAAAAATGTTGACGTGGTCTGAAAAATTCCTGCGTAGTCCTTCTTACTTTCAAATGATTATTTCAGGCATTACAGGGAGACTCAGACCAGTGCGCACACATCATATTTTAGTATCTTTTTAATTGTTTTTTTCCTAACTCAGTAGTGATACTTCTTTCAGTTATAATAATAAACATTAACATATTGCTGTTGAAAAAAATAAAACGTAAAATGTGGTCTGTGCAAAAGTTCTAGTACCTTTTCTATTTTGTGTTCTTATATTCTGTGTTCAAGTCAGAGAACTCTGGTGACGGGCAAAAGCTTACTTAGCCTGACTAAGTTAACATAACTGATCTATCAAGCCAGCTCATCTACCTGATTGTAATCTGTTCAGTCATTCATTCTTCTGTTCATTCTTTACTGTAATTGTCTTTCTTTATCTTGTTCAACTGGCCACGTCAGCATTCCTTGCATGCGTATCTAGCAGTAAAGTATTGTTGTGTTTGGTTCTGCTTCAGTAACGCAGCAGGCTTGAAGTGCAGGTCTGAGTGCTGTCAATCGCACATAGTCATCAAAATATTAGGCCACGCCCAGACTGTCAGTTTTTGTGCTGTTTTTTTTTTGTTTATTATTGTTGTTCTTGCTTATTTTTTCATTCAAAATTTGCTGGATGTTTAGTGTAATGCTCAATTTTAGAATTATACAAACATTTTGATAATTTATAGTTCAAAGAGATCAGATTTTCCTGAGAGACATCTGACTGAACATGAGCTTCAATGGAAGAAATAAGGACCTTTTTGTAGAAGGGCCTTAACGTGGTCAGTTACACAAATTTGTTTGAGTTTTCTTAGTGACCCAAAAATAGTGCAGAATCCTTAATATTTCTGCTTCCTTTTAAATATCATAACATTTTTTTTTTAAATGTCAGATTTTCAATGCAGTCTCAGACTTTTAGACTCTCTAGACTGTAAAGCACTTGTTATTTCTCTAATAAAGGTGGTATTAGCCATAATATAGCAGTGATATTCCTCGTATGTGTGAAGCCCACTCCCAACAATGTCTGTCACAAAAAAAGAAAATATAGACAGATAGCTACAGCCGTATGCAAAGATATTGGGAACAGATAAAAAAATATAAAATGTCAGTATAACTTTTGCATAGGCCACATTTTGTTTGAATTTTTTTTCCCAATTTGTTGAATTCAGCAAATAAACAGTAAATCTTGCATTAAAATGTGCAGAAATGTGTTCTCTGTAAAGAATGTGTACTTATTTTCACTGAGAAAATCAACAAAATGAATTGGACCAGTGGCACTGAAACTTCTGCATATAACTGTATTAACTATTTAATTAGTCAAACTTAGTGACTGCTTTCAAGCTAATGCTAAGAGACTTGAGGCTCTCAAGCACACTTTATTTGAAGGGATATGTTATCATGTCAAGACAAATCTAGTTTTAGGTTCAGTAATTTGATTTGTTTTGAAATCAGGCTGTCTGAAATATTTTTTTTAACCTTGTTAATTCATGTCCCTAATCCTATAAAGCATGATTCATCATACTGTACTGTTTTAAAAAAAAATCTTATGTTCCCATAATCTTCTGTCAAATTGTAATGACGTCTAGCCGCATCCGAAACTTCTGAGTTTTGATTGCATCACTGTGCACCAGTGGGTGGGGAATATTATTAACCAATGATGTTTCACCTCTTTCTTCCACCACTCCAACAAGCAAAACAATCAGCCAGCTAAATTTGTAATTGAATAAAATAAAATTGAGTAAACACATTCTGGAACAAATTCATATATATGCAGACCACTGGCCTACACTGTTAAAAATGGTTCTTCAAGGGTTCTTTAGTCAAGAAAATGGTTCTATATTGAACCATGAATACTCAAAGAAAGCTGTTGCATGATGTAAGCGTTCTTAAAATGCTTTTCACATGGAGAATGTGTTTTGCTTTTTGAAATAGGTTCTATATAGCACCAAATAGGGTTTCACTATTGTTAAAAGCCAAAGAACCCTTTTTTGTACTATATAGAACTCTTTTTGCTAAAAATGTAGAGAGGTTCTTTAAGGTTCTGGAATTTCAGTACACTAGATTAATAATAAAACTCTCTCTCTCCTCCTTCCGTCAGGTTGTCGATGAGTCCTGAAGAGCACAGTGAGTTCTGGAGGAAGGTACAGTTTACAGTAGATAAGGATGTGGTGAGGACTGACAGGAGCAACATGTTCTTCAGAGGAGAGAACAACCCTAACGTGGAGATCATGAGGTCAGAACCTTGTGCTCTCTCTTTTCCTTCTTCCTCTTCATCTATTCTTTCCCTGTATAATATTTCAGTCAATCTTATATACATTATTGTGGAATAAAATAACAACAGTTCTGATTATGTCAAGTGATTGTAAATGTTTCAGCAGTAGTGTTGAACTTGAGGATTTATTTCATTTCTGCTTGTCCTGCTCTTCTCCAGGCGTATCTTGTTGAACTATGCAGTGTTTAATCCGGAGATGGGCTACTGTCAAGGCATGTCTGACCTGGTGGCTCCTCTGCTGACCGAGATCCAGGACGAGAGTGACACATTCTGGTGCTTTGTGGGCTTGATGGAGAACACTATCTTCATCAGCTCCCCCAGAGATGAAGACATGGAGAGACAGCTGGTGAGACCTCCAGCTCTGGCACATTAACCAGTTGAAATTAGGCTTAGTTCATTATTTTTTTTTGTTTCACTGTGCTCACACACCTGATCCAAAATCTGTTGATTTAAAAGCTCTTTGTGAGTTGAAATTTAATTCTTTGAGGTCTCTGATTTCTGATTATGAAAGGTTTAAAGGTTCAAGGTGTTATGCAAGATTCTTCTTATGTTTTATTTAAAGATTGAGGCAGCCATTTGAGGAGTTCAAACATTAAAACAAACCATAGGTTGTCCATTACAGTACTTAATGTTTAAAATTTTGAAGTTGTTTAAGGTTTAAAAAATGGTTCACGGGAAAAATACACAGTTTCTTACTTAATTCTTGCCCTAAACATACTGGGTAGGTCAACACATGCTTAAAGTGACACTATGTAAGTTTTGGAGACCTCTCTGTTGGAAATGTGTAATTGCGCCCAGCGTGGGGAAGATCATTTTGTAATGTTGGTTGTGCTTTGGACCGCTTCCCTGACCCTACAAATCCGATGATCGAGACTGTGTTGAAAGAGTATTCAGTAGAATCAGCCAGAATTTGGTGAAGGATGTGTCTTCTGGGGATGTCAATATGACGTTGATTTTGCATTTGAGACCTAAACATGAAACCGGACCTTCTTTTTGAGTCTGTATGTATGATGTTAATATGCAGAGATGGATGATGTGGTCCGAAAAACTCCGACCCAACACCACTCACTTTTAAATGATTATTTCAGTCTTTAAAGGATGACTCGCAGCAGTGCATGCCCACCATATTTTACTGTTTTTCCTTTCCTCATGAAACTGTAATGCTATTTCTTTCCATTTTAACAAAATATCTTAACTAACAGTGTAAGTCTGCATATTGAATTATCAGTAAAGTACCTCTTAAACCCGAAGCCTTCAATGTTTTGTAGTTGACTGCTACACAGAGTTAATAATAATATAATAATAATAATAATAATAATATCTTTATTTATAGAGCACTTTTCATGCCGGTGGCAGCTCAAAGTGCTTTATAGACAAGTGATAATGTTTTACAGTAACAGACAAGACAGTGACAGATCAAGTTAAAAAGAAATGCAAAAGAGATGTAGTATTTTATTGAACGCCAAGAGATACGTTATCAAAAATTTCTTAAACATGTGAACTGAGCTTGACTGTCTAATAAAAGGTGGAACTGAGTTCCACAGTTTAGAAGCATAATGAAAGAAGCTTCTGAACGTTTTCAGTATTTTACGGATGGTATTTACAGAATGCCAGCATCTGCAGATCCAAGACGATGTGTTGGAACGTAAGTAGAAGAATATAAGGAAGTTCATTTAGAGCCCTACAAACTAGTAACAGAACTTCAAAATCTATCCTGAATGATGCAGGTAGCCAGTGCGGATCTTTTAAAACGGGAGTGATTTGATCTCTCTTTTTTTTTGTTTTTGTTAGGACTAATGCTGCATTTGCAAGGATCTGCAAGAATGTATTGTTTTCTTAGGAAGTCTAGTAAGAAGGGCATTACAGTAATTAATTCTCCTTGTAACAAATGCATAAACAAGTTTCTCTGCAGATAGAAAAGGCCAACCTTTAGTGATTGTTCTCAAATGATAGAAAGCTACTTTAGTGACTAAGTTTACATGTGGGATAAAACAGAGCTCAGAGTCTAAGATCACACCCAGATTTTGTACTTCAGATTTGGTATATGAAGCTAAAGACTCGAGCTTCTCATAAAGTATTTTTCTTTGAGTTTCAGAACCAAATATCAGTATTTTACTTTTTTCATTATTGTAAGAAATTTTGTGACATCGGCTGAGAAATATCTGACACACAGCTGGAAAGCCTGTCTATAGAGTCTTGATCATCAGAAGGCATCGAAATGTATAACAGCAAAGCTATGAAAATGTATAGTATGTTTTCTAATGACATCACCTAGAGGTAACATGTACAAAGAGAAGAGCAAGGACCCTAAAACGAACCCTGTGGGATGCCACATATGTTAAATCTCTTTGGTGAAACCAAGAATTGTCTATGCATTAAATATGATTTATTGAGAGCCCTTCCCAGTATTCAAGGCAGTGTATTAGAATCTTGTGACCAACGGTATCAAAAGCTGCAGTAATTTATTTATTTTTTTTTTTGTAGTAAGGATTTTTTGTGTCAGCGCTGAGCCTAAAGTCATTCACAACACAAACCAATGCTGTGTCAGTACTGTGGTTAGAACAAAGACCTGATTGAAACTTCTCATAACTTGTGAGTTGAGTTGTAATGTGGTCGGTTTTTTGGGGGGTTTGTTGTTAATGTAAAAATATGCTAACTAAGGAAATTGCCTCTCAGTGAAGAAAGACCTTTTATACAATTGATTGATTGATTGATTGACATGAGTGTGTTATAACAGGGAAAGTATCGGGGGCAGGGCAGGGTTGAGAACCGCTGGATAAGAGGCTAGATATGCAGAGTCATTATGAGTAAATTTCACTCTCTATCTCTTTCTGTATATAGATGTATCTGAGGGAGCTCCTGCGGCTGATGTTGCCGCGGTTCCACCAGCACTTGATGCGTTTGGGAGAGGATGGGCTGCAGCTGCTATTCTGTCACCGCTGGGTTCTGCTGTGCTTCAAGCGCGAGTTCCCCGACACTGAGGCCCTGCGTATGTGGGAGGCCTGCTGGGCTCACTACCAGGTAGAGCTGCAGTGTTTAACCTGACATCTTGATGTGTTGTTAACTGAAAAACGAGAGTGCTCTAAATGATCTGAAAACACATGCAGCCATTCAGACATACAACAAGATTCTACAGGCAGAGTACAGATGTAGGAGTCTTCTGTCTTTTGTTGCACCATAAAATATTGAATGGCTTGTCGCACAAACAGAACTTACACAGAGGCAAAGCGAGAGAGGAAACCGAAGAAGACTTGATGGTTTGATTAATCGAATGATAACTAATAGATTAATCAATATTGTTAATAAACCTAAGTTGTAGCTTTATCCTACCAGACCTGGTTGAAACAATTCACAAAATTTATAATTGAGTTCAATACAATTTGGTGGTGTCAATTAGATTCAATAATATGTTCATATTTTAATGTTTCCGTTTTTAGATTTTTAAAGCATTCAACACTGTATTTTATAATACATGCACCAGCCACTGGCTGATATGTTAATTGGTTAAACTGAGCTGATATACTTTTACGAGGAGCGTGCTTTTCCACCTTGCTCTTGATTTTGAGGTAAAGAGGAAGTAATATTTTTGAGAAGAGGGAGGGTCTGAATGCATTGTAGACTTGTTTAATTTTTATTATACTTCATGCAGTATTAAACTCTATTTGCACTAGGCTGTTGAATGTATTGTTCGATATCTCTGCCTATTGAATTGAGAGGCTTTTAATGAACAATGTAATATGATACAATGTATCGTTACACTTCTAGTAGTTACATTGAAGTTAAAGATAGAGAAGCTGATCATGAAAGAGAGTAAAATGGCCACCTTTTACTCCATGTAGAAAATCTCATGCTTCTAAAGTATGTGACATTTACTGCAGAGAGATAAGCCTGAATCCAGATTTTTTTATTTGCAAATAAAGGATTTGATTTGCTTGAGAACCTGAATGCTTTGTTGTTTTTTAAAGGTTAGGAAAAGAGATGCTGTATGTGTGACATTTGATTCAGTGCCTGTAGTGGATAATCAAGTGGTTTAGTGAGGTCAATGCATTTTTAATGGCACTCTCCTTTGATGAAATTCAGCTTCTAGCTTGGGTTTTGACAATGTAGGCGCAGTGCTCGAAAACTGTACTTCCCTTTGTGCATTGTATTTTTACTTCCTCTGTCCTAGTTTCAGTGTAGATGTATAAAGTTTTGGAAAGACATACTTGGTGAGAACAATAACATGTAGCTGGTGTTCAAAAAAAAAGTAACTTCTGTTAACTTCGCAGTCCTGCTTGCTCATTTACCCTGACTTCTTTCAAATACACAGCATTTTCCACATGTAGGCTACACTAAGTCACCCTTACAAAGTATATTGATGGCCACTGACATATATTTTCAATTTCTATTTTGTTTTATTTTAACAATTTCCAAACAGAAAATATTTTACATTGTTGTGAATAAACAAAGACACACACTGTAATTGATGCAAAGCATAATTTTTTCTTTCCCTGTGGTCATTTTCATGACCTTAATCAAGTCCTTGTGGTGCTTCATATCTAAAAATGAGAAAGGAAGGTTTAACATTCACTTATTTGATGTCTTATTAACAGTGTTAGTATTTTAGTTATCATTTTGAACCAGCCTTGTGTGTAGTAGTGCCAAGTCTATTAGGATAATGCACTCAGGGCCCGATTTACTAAGCCTTTTGTGTATATCAGATGCATTGTGGCCTTGTGTTATGTACAAAGCTGGCTGAACATGAAGTTTATGGGCTATGTGCAAGTTGAAATGCGCTTCTCTTCCTTGTGTAAAAAATGGGTGGAGATATTACACATGCGGCTGATTACATATTCAGATTTAGCAAAGTTTCAGCAACTTGGCTGGTTTTGCCTTGATTTTTCTCCTTTTAAAATCAGGTATACGTCTGTTACGGGCCCTCAAAAGACATACTGTTTTTTCAGCTATATTGTATCTGTTAGCAGTTAGATAGAGACACAAGCCTTAAACACATGCTGAAAGAAACCAATGTCTTTTTGTCACAAATTTTTTGTTTTCTGTTTTGTCTCAAACACTATTTCTTTGCACTTTTTAAACCCTGCACTTCACGAGTGAGCAGTTAGTGGGTGGGGCTACACACAGCCTGCAGTCTTAGAAAAGTGAAAGTTAAATTCAGACTCAATTTGGGTGCATATTGCAGTTGCACCAAGGCACATTTTGTGCTGTGTCTTCCTTCATATGTACACCTGGCACTCAGTGTTAAGTAAATACTCAAGAGTGACTATAGTAGCTCAGCAGGTAGGCAGGTTGGTGTTGGAGTGTGTCAGTCTTACTTTCACAGCTGTCTCAGCTGAACCACTAATGAAGATTAGATGCTAATTGTCAAGCTAATGCAGAGTGGCATTAGCATATATTGACATAGTGATAATCAGGTGACACTGGAGAGCAGTTAGTCTTCTCTGCTCGCCCATTTACATAGTGGCTCGTAGTTTGAGATGTCTGTAGTTGCTAACTGATTTGTTATGTGGATTCAAGCTGCTTATTGATTGCTTCTGTTTGTGTGTGTGTGTGTGTGTGTGTGTGTGTGTGTGTGTGTGTGTGTGTGTGTGTGTGTGTGTGTGTGAGACAGACGGACTACTTCCACCTCTTTCTATGTGTGGCCATCATTATGCTGTACGGTGATGACGTCACAGAGCAGCAGCTTGCAACCGATCAGATGCTGCTGCATTTTAGCAACCTCTCCATGCACATGAATGGAGAACTGGTGCTGAGGAAGGTACTGTGAAAACATACACACACATTCAGACATAGGCACACAATTTGGATGTGGCCTCTTTTCTTTCCCTATAAATCATCAAAGAGGAAAACTAGAGTTATTTTGCTGTCCTATTTACTAAAGCATTCAAAGGATTTAAACAGTTAATTATATACACAGCATCTACAACAGAAATCCTAAATTATAATAAAACCACAGTCAAAAGTAAAAACGCCAGGTCAGTGTCTGCTTTTCAGCTAATTTGGTTTAAGTTTAGCAAATAGAAGTGGTAGCGCTGGCTGAAGGGGTGAGCTGTATTTTAAAGCGGTTGGTCTGAACTGCCTAGCTAAACTACACGGTTATCAGGGCTGCTTGTATACTAATTCTCACAGACGAGCTGGGATTTTTTTTAGCTCTTTTTCTCAGTGTTTTAGCCTCATGTCTACACAAAAATAAAGCTTCAGGTCACTGAGGTTTTTTGGAAACGTATAGATTTGAAAACACTGATATCGTGTTGGTTATTGCTGTTTCACATGGAATGAGCTGCTTTAGGTCTCCACATCTGACACGGCTGATCTGTAATATCAAATTTCACAGAAGCTTTTTAATTTATTTTTGCTGTATCATTAGAGGAGAAATATGGAAGACCAGCCTATCTTGGCATTGGACGTGTTGTTCCTTTTTTGTTCTGCACCTTTGAAAAAATAGAGTTTTAGGAACAATGCAGAAATGCTTCATTTGGAGCTTTTCGGCATGTACCGCTTGTAGATGATTAATAAACTCTTAACAGATTATCAGTAACATATTAACAACATATCAGTGAAGTAGCAGCAGTGAAGCATCTGAACACACTGAAGTAAATATCTTGTAGATGTACTGTTAATACATTAATTACATTAAGTAGATGTATTGTTAATATGTACCTTCCATTACACAAAACCTAACCTCACCCAACCTTACCCTAAACCTAACCCTAATCCTAATCCCAACCCTAACCTTAACTTTAACCCAAACACTAATCCTAACCCTCATATGTTTTTGACATGTTTCTGAGAGTCTGGGTGTTTGTTTCATCTAAAAGGACCACTCAAAATAAAGTGTCGCCAAAATCTGTTGCCGTACCCTTGATAAAAGCCCTTTTTTTAGAAAATCTGAATTAGATGGGATAGGTGTTTTATGTTCTTTATAAAGTAAAAATTACCCTTGTATTTTTAATTAGTTCAATGAAACATTATTCCCAGACTAATATCTGAAAGTTTGTTTCCCAACTAACTGATTCATTGAAGTCATAAAACACACCAACAAATCAATTATGAAAACAGTTGTTTATTGCAGCCCCAAAATGATCATTTTAAAATGAAACAAAATAAAATATGTACAAATATGATGTAGGATAGTCCTTAAAAAGCACTCCTTCAGTTGTAACTGCTCACCTACTTCTAAGAATGCTATCACTGGGGAAACCTGAGTGATTAAAAAAAGAGCTAAAGTGCAGCCACACTGTACAAGCTTCATGTGGTAACAGATTAAATTAACTAGTTTTATTCAGCCTAAATAAATACTTTGAATGAATGATTCTTTCAATCAATGTAGTTTTTAAGTTGAATAAAACTAGTTCAATTGCTTGTTGTTGCTTGTTACTACATGAAGTATTTTTTTAGGTAGATCTGACAAGCCACTTTTTACAGTGTAGTCTCTGGTAGAGTCACAATAGAAAGTAAAAATCTGGCTCAAAATAAATCACATCCTACTCTCTCTGACCTGTCTGAGGAAACCCCTAAGAAATTAGGAGAATTATAGTTAAAAAAGCCTAAAGGTTTGTAATATATTAAACATAGAAAATATTGCACTAGCCTATCTTTGTTGTCACTATGTAATGTAAAACTGTGCAAGCCTTATTTACATAACTGCTATTACTACACAAGTAGGCTATTCTCTATAGGCTGACTTATATAGGTCTAATTAGATTTCATTCATGTTGCTGAAGGTGAATATTCTATACTGACAGGAGGATATTAACAAGGTTGTGCTGCATATACTGTCTGTTATTAAATAGATATATTGAAATAAACCAAACTAATTTACCACCCACCCATCTTCTAACTACGCCACCCTCCCTCATGCGGCATTGTCACACAAATGCAGTTCTGCTCAAGTCTCTCTGCTGTTAGCTCGCTGCCCTGTAAACACAATGCTCACTTCTCTCTGCCATCCTGTCCTCTTTTTGCCAGGCACGAAGTCTCCTCTATCAATTCCGACTGCTTCCCAGGATCCCTTGCAGTCTGCATGACCTGTGTAAGCTGTGCGGGCCGGGCATGTGGGACAGCCGCTACATCCCTGCTGTAGAATGTTCCGGAGAGCACCCGGACTCTCAGAGCTGCCCCTATGGAGGCACAGCCACCCCCCAACCCCCACCCTCCCCCAGCCAGCTCAACGAAAGCAAGCGCAGCTCGAAGGCACGGGACATCTTCAACTTCCGCAAGCAATCTTGACTGCAGCTGGGCTCAAGGACTACGCTACCCATAAGGTCTAGCTACAGAGATACCATTTGCCATGTACACGGGTGAATGCTGGGAGATGCAGTCCTCAGCGTCATTATTAGTTGACTAGGAGATATTTGCTATCTAATATGATAATGGAACACTGCCTAAACCAAACACACCTATTTAAAAGTGATGGACGTTATCAGCGTTAGAGGGGAGCCTCATGAATGCAGTGGATGGAATCTCTCTGTGTTTCATTTCCATTTATTAAATGGCAAGATTCTGAAAGGGACTGGCAACCCATATGGAGGCACAGAAGGACTGGATTATGGAATGGCATCAATAATACACAAGTGCAGTCCTCGCATACAAACAAGGATTACAATCTACTTCTTTACAATCTTTCTTTTTGACAAATCCAATATATTGATACTCTTTATTACTATTTTTCTTCTTTTTTATTTCAGACAGTATGCATGTGTGATTTATGTGTGAGAGAGACAGCAACTTTCAGATATAGTGCTGAATATGAATAATTCTGCCATCAGTAGTGGGCTTAAACTTGTTCAATCAAACTTTGGGAATAGCTGATTGGTGCATTTCACCAGTCAGTCATCATTTGGGAAAAAGTGTTGATCATTCCTAATTCCAGATCTCATCATATATTTGAATACAGAGGACATGAGACAGTTGCATACAGTAGGATGCCATGTAGGCCGATTTCTGTTATCAAAGCAATATATATTGGAGATTTTTTCAAGTATTGAACATACATTGTAAACAAAATGGAGCAATACTTATTTTTCCCACATATGCTTTTGCATGCCTTATTGTTCTCTATTACTAACCAGTAATCATTAAGTATAACTATAAAAGGGATATTGGAAGAAAGAGGCAGCAATATTATGACGTAGTGCTGTCGGTTCCTACCATTTGAGCTTTGTGTGTTAAAATCATGATTGTGGCAGAAGGTCTTAATCCTCCTCATAATGCCTCTCAACACCGCAGGGGAGAAAAGCGCTCCAGTCCAAACCCAAGTGGGAGTTTGCCTATAATTAGTTAATCTAGGGGCCAGCCGTTAGATGAGCAGGAGTGTTTGGGAGGCTTTGGTCTGAGAGATGGATGGAGAACGAAAGAGAGAGAGAGAGGGCTATAGAAGATGGCCTGTGTCTTAAAGGTTCCCCAGAGCCCGTTTGAGAGCAGCCGGGAGAGCAGCTATCCGCAAATTGCCGTTAAAAGGTAACATTAGTCTGCGGGACTCTCCACATGCGGCCTCTGTAAACGACATGCATTACAGACCCTTTTCTTAACCATTAGGCATTCGGCTGGCTTCCTCAAATATCCAGCGAGCAAAGAGGCATGGGCGAGCACTCGCAGAAGGGCTAAGAGATGTTGCCATAATTGGAAGATGAGCAATGAGGGCCCATATTTCCACTGTCATAACAAAACAAAACAGTAACTGTAGAACTGAGCAGAAAATCTATAAGAAATTACACTGAAAAAGTAATGAATTGCCTTGATTTAGGTGTGTACATCAGTTCCACATGAATTTGTCTTGCAGATTCCTTACTTTTAGGAATAATTGTGTAGTATATTTTAATGTGGAGATGACATAAATGATTTTCTATTTGTGTGCATTCATCATGAAATGGTCACACAATATAAAGGCACAGCAACAATGTCTTTGTTTTTTAAACTACAGTACTGTGTGCAGAAGTCAGAGACCATCCTCCATTTATTTTTCCAATAAAAATGGTCATTAAGTACAAGTTATTCATTTTCTGTCAGGAAAAAAGTAGAAACATATGCAGACAATTGTGCAAAACTCTCAACCACTAAATGTTTTGTTTTTTTTTTTTTTCAGCATTTAGTGTGTCCACCCTTCCCGTGGTCCAAGTAATCCCAAACACATTCAGTGATGCCAAGGTCTGGCCAGTCAATTGTTCTACCCATTCTTTCAGACTCATAGTGTTGTAGTCTTCTCACAGTGGAAGAATGGACAGAAACATCTATGGATTTTTTCATATCTGAAGCAAGAGTGGAACTTGATTTTCCTGATAGGGAAAGTTTTGGCAGTCTACCGCCTGTTATTTGACTTGCTGTCACCTTTTCCCTTATTTTCTTCCTTATTCAAGTGGATTATGTCCTTGTCTATCTCCTGGTCTCTGACTTTTGAACAGTACTGTATGCCCCCCTGAATTCTTATTGACTCTCATAGGCTTGGCTTCTTAGCAAAATATTATCTAAGCAGCAGTTTATTACGTATGTTTATCTTTTTAGCAGACAGACTAATATACTTATTTGACTTTTTTTTTCTCCTTACGCATCCTCCAACTCAATGACGTCTCGATTCTTATCAGATCTTGTTTCTAGTGCTGACTGCAGGATAGATGTTTAATCAGAACGATCAGGTTGAGCCAGATTTGCAACTTTCTAAGCTGGTTTGTCATGTACAATAGAAACGTTGTCAAATAGACTTCCAAAATGCTGTGAGGTTAACTGCATTCTTTGGCCTGTAGTGGAGAGGAATGGGGACGTGGCCATCCAAATCCGTGAACTGTTGTCATGCGTGACAGTTCTTTGGTATTTTCTATTACGTTGTTGGAGTTATTTAGTAATCCTTTAGTAAACCTCTTCTTTAAAGTTCATACATGTGCCCACACATTCAAACACACACCTGCCCGCTTTGAAAACTGCAATTCACATTAAACTGCCAGACATGCACGTTCGTTGGCTGGTGAAATGTCATCTAGATATGTGGCTAGCTGAGCCACCCACAAAACCTTGCTTTTCTTTTAGCTTTCTACCAATCTGTGAGAACATACACTACCATTCACAAGGCCGAAGTCACTTTTCAGTAGTTAAAGATATATAAAGATACAGTCAGTAGTTAAAGATACATAAGTTTCCTAATATTATGTAGGAAGCTATGAAAAAATGTAGGTGTGTCTAGAACATTGACAGTGAGAGTGACATTATGGTAAAATTAATGTCCAGAGTGCCACGTATTTGAAAAGTGATGATTAAATCTCGAGGCATATAACCTATCAAGAAGTTACTATAAATACATAATTACAGTGTTATTAAATAAGTTCTTGCCCCCACAAACACTTGAATATTCGAGTAAGACCTCTTGAAAAACCTTCTGGCATCTAGCTTAAAGTATTTCAATCTACACTGTAAAAGTAATAGTTGAATAAAGTGACATCAGTTATTAATGATAAAAAAATAATTCCAAATTTTTTAACGCCAAAAAAGATCACTTAAGGTTTCTGGAACAAGCAATGTCATAGAAAAAAACTGCTTTTGGTTCTCTAAAGCAGGACTTCTCAACCTTTTCCACCTATTTATCCATAAAAAGCGTTTCTGAACATAAAATTTTAACATTAGCACAAACGTTCATGTATTTTATGTTCAATGTAAAGTAGATTTATACCTATAATCAGGCAGAATGGTGGCAAATTAAGCTACATTTTTAATTTGCAAGTGGAGGATTGATACTTTTGAGCACAATCAAGGGGCAAAAAACAGATGAAGCTGCTTTGTGCGCCATTGTTGGGCTCGTATTAATGTTGTTTACTATTTAAAAACATTAGATTTCTTTTCAAAACATTCACTGATTTTCACGACAAAGTGCCATCACCAGCTCAACACAAACCACTGGCTCCTACTCGGTATTAGCCGAAGGACCACCAGAGGGTGCTTCCTGGCCCACCTGTGATCCATGGCCCAGTGGTTGAGAAACCCTGCCCTAAAGAACCTTTAAAGGTGTGGTTGATTTACCACCAACACTGTACTTAGTGAAAGAATGAAAAACCTGTTGACTCAAAACACATTGCCAATTAACTTGCATTGTAAGTATGTTTTGAAAGGTTGTTTAGGAAACCAAAAGTGGTTCTTGTGTGGCATCAAACCAAAGAACCCTTTAGGCACGTTTGGTTTTAAGAGTATTCACTTAATAAAAGTAAACGTTCCTAAATGGTTCTTGGCTTGGACAGAGTTCTAAATGGTACAGAACCTTTACATGATATTGAGTTCTTTAACATTTAAAAAGGTTCTTCAGTTCTTGCAGATCTCATTAACAAAAATAGTTCCCTAAAATCTCATTGGTTCATCTGCAGTGCTTTTTCTGAGGCATCTCTCCACCTTTATTGTATACACTTGCAAATTGAAGGTTCCTAAATGGTTCTTGTTTTGAACCTAGAGTTCTAGGAAAAAAAAAATCTTTAACATTTATGTGGAGGTTTTTTAACTTGTGACACTGCACCATTTCAGCACCTTTATTTTTAAGAGTGTTGCAGGATCGTAGCAGCTCCACCTGTGAAAGCGTCCTCAGGCTCACTGCTGTCTCTGTGTGACAGCAGTCTAAGCTCGTGCTTCAAGCATCTGATCGATTTCCTGCATCAGAGTCAGTGGTTTTCCACAGAAGCGAATCGCATTACTGCACGATGAAAAAAAAACATAACAATATAAAAGAATAACTTGCCACTTCAAATCCGCCATCGCTGTTTTTCCTGAGGACATTCCTCCCTTTATCTGCTCCCGTAAGGATAAGAGAGATAATTGTTTTATTTTGTAGCTGAGCAATTATACGTGCTGTGTGCAGAGAGCGGGATCAGAACGGCACAGTGAAACGGAGAATAGCTGCTTATGTACTGTTTTTGTATGGTGCTGTTTAAATATGCGGTTAAACTGCAAGGTCTGTACAGAGATAGAGGTTAAAAACAGTCACGTACAAACCTCAAGACGACTCCTATCTCAAAACCATCTCAGATATGATGAGAACACCACTGTGTTTGTGTGTATGTGTGAGTGTAGAGGTGCGTGCATGTGAGTGTGTGTAAGAGTGAATGTGTGTATATTTGTATGCACACTCCATAGCCACTTTATTAGAAACACCTACTTTGCATCTGCACACTTTTTTTTACTGCTTTATCAGGTCCTCTTGCTGTATGAGTGTAAGAGTGCTTGTGTGTGATTGTAAAGACACACCAAGCGCAATGTATTCAGATGTCAGTTAGACCTGTTACAATTATTACGTACTTGCCTGACTGCAAATATTTAAACAAACCGCAAACATTTTCCACAGTTGTTTGCTTTCGCAATCATATGTTTGTGTCATAACAAACAGAATGTGAATTGAGTGCACTTTCATTCATTGGGCTGAGGCAACATGTAACTCTGCTTGTCTAAACTGGTAACTGTACAGGACAAAAATGCTCTATACTTTTAATGTAAGTGAATGTAAAGAGATTTTATTCCAAGCGATTTTGGAGCGTTTTGATTGATCCAATTATTATGAGTCTCTTAGATAGGGTGAAGGGCAGCTGCTGTGTTCAAATGATGTAAAAAAAAAAAAAGTATTAAAATAATCATATAAATTTAGCTACTACGCTAGAAAACAAGAGAGCTAATTAGCCACTTTAACCATGTACTTTAATATTACCTACAATGAACAAAAAGACAAATCTTTAATTGCAATTAGGGATATGGCAATTAATCTTCAGCCACATTTTATGATCTTGACAGGCCTAATGTCAATAAATCAATTCAGATACATGTATAACTGATGGTATATTAAAACACTAAAAACGGTTTTTCATGAGGCGAAAATGTGATGTGTTTTTGTCACCCTCTGTCCATTTTTTGTGAACCTTCACTGGCAATGTGAACTCACTGACCAATCACTGTCACCTCTGGTGTTGGCATTGCGACAACCAACGTGACAGATCAGCAACTACAACTTTTTCACAAATGTAAAAAGGATTAGTTTGTACTCTCCTTTGCTCCTTCCAAAATATCCCACTTTGTGAGTAGCAAAGTATATCCTTTTGCAATTTGTGTTTGTTCATTCACAAAACCTACTGCGCTCAGTGTACATAGTTTTGTTACAAAAAAATCTAAATATTTTTGCATTTTCATGCCATTTTTTAACATCATGTCTTGTATGTAACAGCCTTAGAGAGTATGTGGGCATGCTGTGTGTGTGTGTGTGTGTGTCTTTATACATCTGTCAAAACCATCTGTACTGACAACTCTGCTGTGTGAATGTGTGAGTGTTAGAGTGTATGTGTGCATATATCAGCGTGAGTGTGTCTCTGCGTACATCTGTCAAAAACAGCTGAAAAAAAAAAACTGTACTGTAGGTGCGAGTGTAAGTGTGTGTGTGTGCTGGTAAGAATTAGGTGTGGGGATCTCTAGGCACCTCACAATTCGATTTCAGGATGCCGAGATGTGATCATAAAACGATTCTCAAAGGGTCTTCAATTTTGATTTCTGTAGCTGGTGTAGTGGTTTTGTAGTACTGAGCCGTGGAACACTTTCTGACACCTGTTACACCTCTCATTCTGAAAGAAGTTACTACAAACACATACAATCGAGGCTGTTTATTTTTAGCGATTTCCGAAGACAGCATTCATTTTTTTTGTCATAGAGAAAACCAGCGTAGACCTGGAGATCCTAATATGGGCATTACGCTGACTACAGAATGGATGACAAGTTGAAAGTGGGAGTGGCCTAAACCAGAAATGAGTGTGAGGTGCTGGAAATGGGTTGATTAACAGACGATGGATGACATTAACAACATGCATGCAGAATGTAATTTAGACAGTCAATCAGCAGTCTACATTCTGGAACAAGCATGATTATTGGCTCATTAAAACTGATGACGGCGACTACCTAAGTAGTGAAATGTTGTATTGAATGATATGCAATTTCTCAATATTCAGTAATTCGGTCGGTACCATAAAAGTCTTGAATTTGGATACCTAGTCCCATGTGTGAGTGTACATGTATGTGTGTGTGGGATGGTTTGTGTGTATGTCTCTGCATACATCTGTCAGTTAATAATTACAAATAGTATATTTCTTATGTTTACATGTGCCCACTGTATCCCCTCCCTTTTGTCACAGAACATAGATCTTCCTATCTCTTTCTCTTTCTCTCTGTCTCTGTGTCTGTCTATCTGCCTCCTCCTCCCTCCCTTTGAGTGGCAGCGTGAGGCCTGTGTGGACCCCCTGCCGGTCAGATCGCATCCACCGCTGTGCTATTGGCCCTAATTATCAATTACGGGGGCCAGACGGCCCCACCTGGAGCTGGCCGAGGTGCTAATGAGCCCGGGCCATTTTGACCGGCCCCGTGGTGCGTGTCAGCAGGACTGGACGGGCCTCTCCGCTGAGCTGCTAATGGATCCTGCGCTGTCACAGTCAGAGGCTGTAATCACTCAGAGCTAGGACAGGCCATGCCTTCCTCATTTACTGCCTTCTCCCCGCCTCACGCTCTCTTACACTGGCGTAGTCCATCATTATGTTTTCTTATGGTTCACTATTTGTAAATGGGGGGGCAAGTAATGCCTGGTTTCTTCACTCTAGCGCAAACTGGCTCAGTAGATACAGGTCAGAAAGGCGTGAGGTAAAGCCGTTCGGAAAGATAACGTGTTTTTGCGCAAGTGATTTTGCCATAATTTCAGGTTGTTTAACCCCTTGAACTGTAAGGAGCTGGAGATGGGTCTGGACTTTCATCCCTCTCAGTATCGCATGGCTTAATAATAGCTTTTATGGTGGTGTAAATGACCTCACAATGATTTGGATGCGATTCTTTTGGAAAAAATTGAATGCATCTTAAAATCTCTCCATAATTTGATTCAGTTCAGTTGTTTTGGTACATTTTTTTATTTTTATGTTTAAGAATAGCCTTTTATTAGCAATAAAAGGTTATAAAGGAGACTTTTATTTTGCATAATGTAATGGTCATATACATGGAATATTATAATGGATTATAATACTGCATTTGATCATAATCTGTTATAAAATTACAAAATCGACACAGCTGGATCTCCACCTTCAGACTGATACTGATGCATTTTTACTGAACGATTCATCGTGGTTTTAGCTCTAAATTTGAACTGTAAGCCTAGAGTTGAAGGGATTCATGAAAGAGAACCTCTTTGTAGGGGTCTTGAAAGCTAGCAGCGGTCCTTTTATGCTGGGTCCAGGTTTAGGAGCTTGCAAAATATAAAGGCTGTCTGGTTCTCCAAACCCAAGGCATTCCTCCCCAGCCACATAAATTGCCTTGGATATGATTCCTAGCTCATGACAACTTGCTAGAAGGGAGGTGGTGGGAGGGGTGGTGGGGCAGAGGAATGAGAAACAACATCAGTCACATGCCATCGCCAGGTCTCCTCCAGTGGCAACAACACAAAACCTCAACCACTCCCTCCCTTTATCTGTACAAACAGTTATGGGAATGGAGATTGCCTGTATTTAGACTCAACAAAGATAATTAGGCGTTGGAGCAGCGCTTTGATTACCGTTCTTATGTGCAAGCACAGCGCGCTTGCTCTTCTTCCACAGTCCTCAAAGTCTTGCTGACACTTTTCAACAATCAGGGTCTGAGATGAAAGGGAAATGTTTGTGTTTAAGCGTTTTGCAAGCACAGCCTTAAATACGTCTCGTAACCACTGAAATGTAGCTTTCTGCTCCTCACTACATGAAGGAGAACCACTTTCGTCATGATGTTTGAGAAATAGCTAACAAAGTATTATAATTTTGTAAGTATAATGTGATGCCGATATATTTCACTGATGCGTTTCATATACTGAAATGTTATTTTCAGAAGCATGCCTTTCATGTCTTTCATGGTCTGTAGATGAAGAAATGTTACCCCCAACAAGACCTCCACTTTATTGATAGGAACACAACAGCTGGTGTATTATAGACACAACACTGTCAATCTCACTCACCATCTAAGTGCCCTTTATTTCCACTTTTGTTTATGGTATCGTTTCAAGGCAAACTTAAAATAGTGATTCACCAGTCTGATCGCTGGATCAGTATTGACGCTGATACTGACCCAATTTAACTTACCAGATGTGATCAATCCACTTTGGATACTGTTTCTTAGATACAGTTGCTCATTCCAAAACACAATACATCTAATTTTCACTTTGTGTTATTATTAATGGAACTAATTGCTCTGCATACTGCTAAATATGAATGACCACCTTATGGCAAACTTGATTGCATAATAAGTTTAAACAAGTGTTTCTTTGAGAATGTGCAATGCACCATGCATTTCTCTACAAAGTGCTGCAGGATGACAAAATAAAAGCCCCTCTGACAAAGCGTGACGTAGCACAGCCTTTCATAGCCATAAAATAAATCAGAAAACTATAGTTGAATATGAAATGCAATATGCATCATTTAAAAAATAACCAAATTAATTAATAACCAACATTTTTTTTAAAAAGATGTATCATGCTTTGGAATGAGCTATGTGAGGTATACAGATAAACTGAATATTATATCGGCAGCTGATATCAGAAGAAAAAAGCCGGATCGGTGCATCCTTAAACTATTTTACTGATGTCCTATTAATCGCTATATCTCCACCAGGACACTTAAGTGAGAGGTGTACTAATTTATACAATGCATGTGCTAAGATGTAAACCTGAAACACAAAGAGAACTTCATGTAATGACACATGTTCATGTTCTGCACTGTGCTCTTAAAAACTGAGGTTCCTCAATGGTTCTTCAAATAGATGTGTGGTTCCAGGAAGAAACTTTGTTATATTTCATACCATGCATTCAAAGGGTAATGTGGCTCTTCTATAGTATCACAAAAATGAACTGTTTTGAAACCTTTATTTTTAAGGGTAGTATTTTAGTCTGGAATGTTGTGAAGCATTTGGTACATTATGGTCTGGTTTTTCAGGCACATTCTAGCTCTGAATTAAACATCAAAGCTTGAGAATTCTCATTAACAGATCAAAATTAGACCTAATATGTACCTGAAAAACTGGACCTACATACTGGACCTGACACAGTTTGTGAATCTGAATGTTCTGAGTGGGTGAAATGTGTAGGAGGCAAAGAAATGGGCACAAGTCTCACAATATAGGAAGGAACCATATGGAAAAGCGAATAATATATTTATTTTTCTAAGATTTATGAAAATGGCTTTAGAATTGAACACAATCGTCTGCATTCTTTTGTGTCACATTTTGAATGTATTGTTTTATTGTTCTACTTACTTTGTGACATCAGCCATTCTTCTCTGTCATATGATTTATTGTTTTATGGCATGGTTGTTCACAGGCCCTTGTGGTCTGGTTGACGTGTAGGAATCGCAGTGAGAAGTACAATGTAGGAACAACATAGAAAGGACAACTTCCACAATCATATCCCAAAGTATAATTTCTCATGTTTACATTGACCACTTAAAAAGATACACGACAACATAGCAGTAATTGTATGTACTGTATTACACCACAGGCCTACGTTCATTTGACATTGTTCTCTCAGCAAAGGCCTGTGATACTGTCATTGCAGTGTTTCAGTGACAGCCACAAACGATTGTCAACAGTTTTATACCTTCATTGGAACCATATCCTGTAAAATATCATTATGATTTTGCAAATAAAATGAATAATTATGCATATAAGTGTCTGTGTCTCTGCTAAGCTTATGAAAGTCATTAACCTGTAGATTAATTGCTCTTTCCAGATCCAAATTAATGCTCTTCATAAAGCATAACCCCATTATAGGGCAGAGTGATGTTAAACAGCCCCCAAGAGTAAAACGCCCCCAGGGTTATTTCTCTACCCAACCACCAAATGTCATCACATCTTCCTACACTTTCTTTTCATTGCAAGACACAACAGTACTTAAAAAAAAACAAAAAAAACTTTTGCCCCCACATTTACCACCATTTTACCACCATCAACATATACAATCTCAGAAGACATGTGTATCAGTCGTTTTGGATAGTAAATAAAATGGCCATGTTTGTGCTGTGGACATCGTAACCTCTGGTGTCACTGTAAAGACGCTGTAAGTCACAATGCACTACATCACATCAA